TCTAAGGGCAACACAACAATTTTGTTTGACCTAAAAATTACATAAACTATGTACAATTACATTATTAAATAATGATTAAGCACTGTTTTAAATTCATTTTGTTAGCATCAGACCTTACGAGGAAATTATAAAATGCATATAATATTGACAGGGGATGACAAATGATTGTTTACATTGGCGGCGACCACCAGTGTTTAAAGTGTGAACCATTTGAAGGTGGTCACTTGTTTATTTTTTTGGTAAGGGTAGAGTAACACGTAGCCCCACACTTTAGTCGTTTGAATTTCCTATGTAAGCAATTTCATGATTGATTAGGTACTTTTGCTGCTGCCGGGAGTCTGGAAAGGGTGTATTTAAGTTGCGACCACCGCCAACTTATGCTAGCACAATTTTTATATTATTTCTATGACTAGACAATAATGATGAAGACTGTAATGTCAAAATGACAATAATGTTTTGAGATACATAACAAACACTTGTCTACCTAATACACTATTGGGGCCTATTACAAAATCGATTGTGTGATAGAAACTATTTTGAAATGTTTTAAAATATATTACGATCCATTAAACATTCAGCATCGATCGAAGCTCTTCATAAAAGGATTATGCATAATTAAAACCACAACACATTTACTAGTTTACTACAATAAATAATTGTAAAACAATAATTTATTCCACAATTAAAAAATCCATCGTATGATAAACATTTTTTGAAATGTTTTAAAATATATTACGATCCTTTAAACATTCAGCATTGATCGAAGCTTTTCATGAAAGGATTATGCATAATTAAAACCACAACACATTTACTAGTTTACTACAGTAAATATCACTAAAATAATAATTTATATCCACAATTTCTTAAATATCGTCTGAACATTTTTCGGAATCACATTCTTATTTACTACATAATCTTTAACTACAACGACACAAATATTAATAGAGCAACATGAATATACATGAGAACACTCCTCCTTGAGAATCCCTTTTAGATAATCAAAGCATGTTTTGACCCACTTTCTTTGTCACAGCAAACGATAAAATTCAAGACTATAATAGAGCAGTTTTAATATATATGAAAAAAAGCCTCAAATGTTGAGACAATTCCTTACACATCATTAAAAATTGTTTTGAAATCACGTTTTTTTGTTACTACAACGATAAAATACAAAACAGCAACATGAACGTATAATATGCGAATACGCCTAAAAATGAAAATTTCCGTAACCATCATCAGTACATGTTTCGAAATCACGTTGTTTGTTACTACATAATCTTAACTACAACGTTAAACTACAAGAACAGTACTACACCAATATTAAATGTATGTTGATAACACATCAAAATGTTTCAACAGGCTACTAGTCATAAAGGTGCAGCAGGAGAGTAGCTGGAATGGAGTATTAGTTGGAGTGGAGTGGAGTAGCTTGGTGGTTTATATGCTTGCCTTTTAATCCCAGGTCTTGTGTTCAATTCCTGTCGTGCTAACATGGTGTTTTCTCACGACCAAAACAACTCCACTCCACTCACTAAGCCTCATAATGAGGCTTAGTTTATGTAGAGCATCTTGGGTTATGTTTTGTCTGTCTTGTGAAGGATATGCCACATTGAATAGTAATCAAGTTTGCTGCTTGACATATCATTGGATTTAAACCTAAACCAATAGCCAAAAGTAGTAAACTTAGCGTTAACACAGAGTACACTATGTGTACCCGATTCTGTTCCACTTTTTTTTTTGCTGTGAGCTAAGTGTCATACTTCTAAATTATGAAATCGAGTGTTTATGAATATTTTCAATGGATTCAACAAGCGAAATTCCATTATAAAAGTGTCTTTTTGAATGCTACATTAACTATGAACAACCATGTGGCTTAATATTTCCTTGTCTAAAATTTCAATACATACAAGACAACATTACATTAAAAAATGGAAAGCTGTATATTTTTATAAGACTAAAAATATATCATGTTTTGAACTATGATTATTTAATGTGTTTTAAACATGTACAACTGAAACTATTTCAAATTTGGATATCTTGGTGGTTAAATGTACAGTTTTGTGAAGTAAACAAGTTCTTCGTGACGTAGTCAACTTCACACTCTTTTTTTCTCAAAATGTTGTTTTGATTGAAATTGAGAAATGTGTTTCTTCGTGGGGTTAGTGACAAAATGTAAAATCATACAATTAATTTAATTATGATATCTACGTAGGTGTACATCTCAAACACAAATGTTCAGTGGTCTCACATTTTCATGCTTTAATTATCAGACACCACAACAAATGTTTTAATAAGCAAACATTTTCTGCAGTATCATACAGGTGATTGCATGTGCTAGTGTTAGTTAATTTGAGATTGCTTATATGGTGTCGTGCCATTTACAAATTTAAAATAATGACATATTTTTGGGTTTTATGTTTCTTTTGTATTAAATGAAACGCCTTAATAATTAATATGTGCAGGTGTATATTTCTTCTTTTTAAACATATATGCAATGGTATGAAGATATGGATTTAGTGAGGAATTGATTGGAATAATGAATGTCGCAGACCAAACGTAAATTTCATCAGGAAGTTTCCAGGCACCAGCTTCCGACACAATTCCCATTAAGATAATTGGAAACCAACACATGAAATCTGTTAAGACGATTATTATCATCTTTGTTGCCATCCTGATCTCCTCTGCTCGCCTCGTACCTCTATTTACCCTCGATGCCGTTCGCTTTACGGATATATAAATTGAGATGTAACTCCCTGCTATGACGATAAAACTGAAGAAGTTGAATGCCAGGAATATCATTATAGCATATTGCCAGCCTGGGTATCGGTCAGCTGTTAGCGGTAGTGCCAAGCACACACTTTGTCGCCCGTAGTAGTTGTCTACGAAATACGGTATGTTGACGAAACTTATACGGTTGAACACAGGAAGAATACTGACAGTAATTACAGTCAACCAAGCAATACCCATGATTTTAATGCATCTTTTACGATTAAGCCTTACGGTGCTGAATGGATAAGCAATGGTTACTGCACGGTCAAAACTCATAATCATCAAGATGAAAACCGAACATTCACTGGACAATGTTGAGATAGACCCGGCAAAACTGCAAACGAAACTGTTTTTCCAAATTTCTGCATACCGTGCGTACCTCCCCCTGTAGTAAATATCAGCTCCTGCTATGATTATCATGTAAACCGCCATCAGCAAGTCGGAGACTGCAAGATTAGTGATGAGTATGGATTGGACATTAAAGTCATTTTCAATTACTCGCCGAATGATAACAACTAAGTTGCCAAGGAGGGCAGCTATTCCAAGAATCAACATCAGAATCCGCAAAGCTTCCCTCCTCAATAGATCTGTACATGAGGCAAACAGATCAATGGGTTCGCAGTGATCAATATCACCAACAATGCAGCAGAGACTAAAATAATCAGAATATCTGTGGAATATATAATTAAATAATTAAATAATTACATATACATATAATTAATTAATTACATATATATATAATATATATATATATATATATATGTAATTAATTAATTAATTAATTATATAATCCACAGTTTGTTTGAAAGGCAAATGGGAAAAACCCATAAAACAGCAAACGGCCATGTATATATACTGTCTCTTATACACATCTAGATGTGTATAAGAGACAGAAATAGGATTGTAGAACTCTCTTTTTCTAAAAAAAAAAAAAAATATTATTTGATGTTCATATAAACTCATTGTTTGTGGCATTTACCAATACCCGGATTGAATTTCTTTATTTGCTACAAAAGCCATCAATGGGCTATTATCCGCCCGACAAAAAACATAACACTATCTTATCAACATTTTCTTTAGCCAATAAAAATGTTCGTAATAAAAATTAAACAACCAATCAATGTGTTCCAAAGCAGAGCAGTACGGATAGAGGCATTGTTTGCAGAAGACGGATCGATATTTAAAGACGAGCAAAGCTTAAGTGCATATGGGAGAAACGAAGATTTGAAACGTTCGGTTCTATAAGAAAGTAGTAAGAAGGCAGGTTGTCGGTGATTCCTAAGCGAGATAGAAGTTTGACGTCGAGGCAGGAGGAAATCTGTGATGATGTGATCATAAGATTGAACAATTCGACAAAATATGCATAGAGTGAAATATTTAATCTTGTGCCGTACGTTGTGATACCATATTGAGCAAATAGTTGTGCATATGAAAAATATGAAGGGTGATCTAAAAAAGTTCAATACGTTTAAAATACGCACGTTCACATTCAGGTAGGTTGCCATATAGCACATGCATATTTCATCACTGATTGGACATGGGATTTATATAAGAAAACGAGAGATGTTGGGTCAAGTGAATGCTTTAGATATTTCATTAAGATAAGATAAGATAAGATATAAGATAAGATAGGCCTATATTTTATTCGTCCAATTTATAACAATCGGAAAATTGCTTTCCTTTGGCATAGAGAACAGTAAAACACAAAAATACAGAGCACAGAAAAAAATACATCAAAAAACTACAGACAAAAAAGAAGTTAAAAATAACCACAATGTTTCAATAGATTCAATTTCAGCGACCTCTCCTATAATACGTTTGGCAGCCTTAGTTATACGTTCAAGTTTAGCTATGTTTGTTTTTCGACATGTTACCGTATATACAAATTAGATTAAAAGTTAAAATGCTAAGAACAACATATTTGTAAAATCAAAAATAATAAAATTGTCTTATCAACATTAAAACAGCTAAGTTTTATTAAAACATATAAGCGTTGATTTGCTTTGCGTCGCGTAATTTCTGATTGATTAAAAAAATTAAGTTATCTATTATAGTATATAAATATTTGTATTCGTCAACTTGTTCAATAGTTTTATTCTTAAATTTTAGTAATTCTAAACCATTTTGCCCTTTGCGGAAATCAATTACTATCTCTTTAGTGTTTTTCATGTTAATAACTAGATAGTGCTCATCGCACCACCGGACAAAATTATTTATTTCATTTAAGTAGTTGGGATCATCATATTTTAAATATCCAGTTATTACAGTATCGTCTGCATATTTAATAATCGAACAGTTTTCAAATGTGCTTCTACAATCATTGGTATACAGACAGGAAAGTATGGGGGAAAACACACACCCTTGTGGTGCTCCTGTACTATTTGTTCTTAGGTTATACTTGACTGGGTCTATTTAAACATATTGTGGTCTTTGTGTTAAGAAATTTAAAATCCAGGATAAATATATTGTATTCACCTTCATGGTTAAAAGCTTATTATTAAAACGTGGGGCTGGATTAAATTAAAGACACTTGAAAAATCTATAAATGTAGATCTAGCGTATGCTTCAGGCGTTTCGAGATGTTCAAGTATATTTTGCATATAATCTAAAACAGCATCCTCAACCCATTTACCACTTTGATAACCAAACTGTAAAGGGTCGAACGCTATGTCTTTTTCCTCTAGTAGTTTTTCTTAACAAAATGTTCTAGGCATTTAATTATGGTTGATGTTGGGGCCACTGGACGATAATCGTTTAAGTAAGACACTTTTTAACCTTGTGACTGGTATAATTGCAGAGGTTTTCCAAATAGTAGGTATTTGTCCTGTGTCTAGGCTTTTCTGGAACAAACCAGTATAGGCAGCCGCTAATTCAAAACTACAAGATTTTATGACTCCATTTCGTATGCCGTCAGGTCCAGTAGCCTTATTTACCTTAACAACAGCAAAGAACTTTTGAACTTCATGCTGAGTAATTAAGATTCTATTGTCATTAACTTTTGATAATTTGTTTTAAAGATTTCGGTGTTCATTTTTAAAATTCAGCGTTTTGAAACGACAATACAATTCATTTAAATTATCTATAAATTGTGTGATTGTTTTTGTCACAGTCAGATTTCTTTTTACTTCGGTATCCAGTTATCGTTTGCAGCATTTGCCAGGCACTCATACGACTGTTAAGTTTATCTTCCAGTATTTTTCCGTATTTACGCTGACTTCTTTTAACTTCGTTTTTAACTTCTTTTTTCTTCAGAAAAAATTCAACCAGATTTTTGCTTTCAAGAGCTTTCTGCTTCTCGAAAGTTAACGTCTTTAACTTAGCTATCACCCATTGTTTGTTGTTAGAGTACACTCTCTTTTTCCGAACTGGAACAATAGAGTTAACACAGAAGTCAATATAAGAATTAACCGCTAGCAAGTGCTTGTCTATATCATTTTCGTAGAAAATATTCCAGTCAGTACTTTCAAGGCAGCTGTGCAATTCGTGTCAATAACATTGTTAGACCACGTACGATAATTTATGGTAATCGGTTTCTTTTGTTTCAATTGTTGTCGGTAACTAGTTAACAAACAAAAAGTTTGTAATCGGAGTCTCCTAACGGAGCACATACGTTGTATTTTTCTTTCATGTTTCCATAGCATTTATCCAAAATGGCATTCCCTCTCGTCGGAGAGTTTGCGAACACATGATTTATATATATTAGTGATTTGTGAATGCCACTTTAGATTGTTTGAGATTGTAATACCTAAATATTTGAGTTCTTGGATTTTTTTCTGGAACAAACCAGTATAGGCAGCCGCTAATTCAAAACTACAAGATTTTATGACTCCATTTCTTATGCCGTCAGGTCCAGTAGCCTTATTTACCCTAACACCAGCTAAGAACTTTAGAACTTCATGCTGAGTAATTAAGGTTCTATTGTCATTAACTTTTGATAATTTGTTTTAAAGATTTCGGTGTTCATTTTTAAAATTCAGCGCTTTGAAGCGACAATAAAATTCATTTAAGTTATCTATAAATTGTGTTATTTTTTTGTCACAGTCAGATTTCTTTTTACTTCGGTATCCAGTTATCGTTTGCAGCATTTGCCAGGTACTTATACGACTGTTGTTCCTAAGTTTATCTTCCAGTATTTTTTCTTATTTACGCTGACTTCTTTTAACTTCGTTTTTAACTTCTTTTTTCTTCAGAAAAAATTCAACCAGATTTTTACTTTCAAAAGCTTTCTGCTTCTCGAAAGTTAACGTCTTTAACTTAGCTGTCACTCATGGTTGTTCCCTTTTTCCGAACCGGAACAATAGAGTTAACACAGATGTCAATATAACAATTAACCGCTAGCAAATGCTTGTCTCTATCATTTTCGTAGAAAATATCCCAGTCTGTACTTTCAAGGCAGCTGCGCAATTCGTGTTAGACCACGTACGATAATTTATGGTAATCGGTTTCTTTTGTTTCAATTGTTGTCGGTAACTATGTAACAAACAAAGAGTTTGTATTCGGAGTCTCCTAACGGAGCACATACGTTGTATTTTTCTTTAATGTTTCCATAGCATTTATCCAAAATAGCATCCCCTCTCGTCGGAGAGTTTGCGAACACATGATTTATATAATATATTAGTGATGATGTGAATGCCACTTTAGATTGTTTGAGATTGTAATACCTAAATATTTGAGTTCTTGGATCTTTCAATCAGTTACCCGTAAGGGTAATTGGGGATAAGGCAGGATTGCATATTTAAAAGTGTATGTTCATTATTTTGTATTTAGATGATGCGACGAGAAATCCATTGTATAGGGGCCAATGTCTAAGATCATTCGCAATAGATGACAAAGGATGAAGGAGGCAGTCTCTAAATGAACTAACAATAACCAGGTCATCTGCGTATAAGGAGAAAGGACAATTAATCAGATCAATGATATCATTGATGAAACAAAGGAAAAGGATAGGACCAAGTTTGCTGCATTGTACTACCCCGCTGCTGATAGGAAGTTTGGTAGAGGTAATTCCTTGAAAATAAGTTTGCTGAGTTCGAAAATGAAGCCAATTACCAATTCAATCGACAGGTGTATGTGGGAGTCAAAATGAATGAGATAATTTTAAAAAGGAGTAAAGAGCAGGCCCGTAGCCAGGTCATTTCAAGGGGGGTTCTCTGGGCATGGGGTCCAGAGGCCTGCCTAAGGGCCCCAGTGGGGTCGGGGGCCCCCGAAGCCAGAGCAGTTTTTGTGTTTAATGGGTCTATATAATGTTATGTTATAAAAGCAGTTATGTTTTGAAAAAGATCTATGTAATAAAAAAGTGGTAATATAATAAAATTAGAAAATATTTCGTGAGTGGATTTTCCATACGATTAAAACTCGTAACGGTACAGGTACTGCATCGTGAGTGGATTTCCCGTACGACTAAACATCGTAACGGTACTTGGTTTGGTCTACAGGAGTTCGTGCTTCGAACAGGTCATTCCCTTCATAGAAGCCTTTTCATGGAGAAAGTGTACCTTTTTAGCAAAGGTTTGTCTAGGTCGAAACTAACTCCGGCTATATAAAAATTGATTAGAATATTGAAAATGTTATTCGTGTTAATGATAGATAAAGATTACGAGGCCTAATATGTCCATTTTTATTGATCTAATCTACGTGTATTTACTTTCATAGTTTATATTTAAATATTTAAAATTGTTTATAAATTTATTTAAAATACTATATGAAATAATGTAATCATTAAAATTTATGATAATAATTGATATTTAAATAAAGCAAAAGATTGAAACATGTTAAATACAGACACAATGTATACATAAACCTATTTCTAGATTACAGAAAATATGTAAATCTGTATTAAAATGATATAAATTTATATATATATACATAGAAATATTATGCGTAAATATGTATTTAGTATAACAAATTAAATTTAAACGAAAATGTGGAAGAATCAGAGGAAGAAAGAAGAATAGGAAAAAATTGAAAATGAACAATATTAATAATTTTTTCTTTATTGCATCACGTTTTTGTGAAAATAA